CAATTATATCTACTTACTTCAGTGTATGTTATAACTTTTTAATGAATGCTACACACATTCAGATACAGGGACTTTAGTTTTGTCTTTTTAATATCTTTGTAATACATTGTCTTGATTGCTGGTGTATTCCTAAGTTTTTTTCTTGTCTTTTCCAGTCATTCCCTGACCCTCATTTCTCACATTATTATCATCCTCTCCTAACATACCTCCACTCTTTAATGTCCTTCTTTATTTCATCCATTGGCCCCACAATTTAGTTCATAACCCTATGAAAAAGAAAAACCAAAAGAACTGCGGATGCTGTAAATCAAGAACAAAAACAAAGTTGCTGGAAAAACTCAGCAGGTCTGGCAAAATCAGTAAAGGAAAAAATAGAGTTAATATTTCGGGTCCGGTGACTCTTCCTCAGAACTGATGGTGGCCAGGAAAACGTCAAATTATATGCAGAAAAAAGGGGAGGGGATGGGGTAGGGAGTAATCGATAGGATAGAGCCTAAAGAGAGAGAAGAGCAGTTGGACAGACAAAGAATTGATAACGCTCAGGCTGGGAGGGTGAATAGTTGTTAATGGGGACTATTAGTGACTAGTAACAGGTAGTGTATAATGACAGGCTATGTGGTAACAAGGCCTGGTGTGGTGTAGGGGGCTGGGACATGGGAGAGTTTAGGCCCTAAAATTATTGAACTTGATATTGAGTCCGGAGGGCTGCAGGGTCCCCAAGCGGAAAATGAGGTGTGGTTCTTCCAGCTTGTGTTGAGTTTCACTAGAACACTGCAGCAAGCCAGAGACAGAGATGTTGGTCAGGGAGCAGGGTGGTGTGTTAAAGTGGCAGGCAACGGGTAGCTCAGGGTCTTTTTTGTGAGCAGAACGTAGATGTTCTGCGAAGCGGTCACCCAGTCTACGCTTTGTTTCCCCAATGTAGAGGAGACCACATTGTGAGCAGCAAATGTAGTGACTAGATTGTGGGAAGTGCAGGTGAATTGTTGCTTCACCTGGAAGGTATGTTTGGCTCCATGGATACTGGGGAGGGATGAGCTAAATGGGCAGGTGTTGCACCTTCGATGGTAACAGGGGAAGGTGCCATAGGGCTGTGGGGGTGTGTTGGGGGTGAAGGAAGTGTGGACCAGGGTGTCCTGGAGGGAACAGTCCCTGCGGAAGGCGGACAAGGTAGGGAGGGGAATATGTGTCTGGTGGTGGCATCTCGCTGGAGGTGGCGGAAATGGCGCCTGATGATCTTCTGGATGTGGATGCTGGTGGGATGGTAGGTAAGGACAAAGGGAACCCTATCGCTGTTGCGGGAGGGAAGAGAAGGGGTGAGGGCGGAAGTGCGGGAGACGGGTCAGACCTGGTTGAGGACCCTGTCGACAACGGAGCTGTGGAATCCTCGGTTGAGGAAGAAGGTGGACATTTTGGAGGCTCTCTTGTCGAAGTTGGCCTCATCTGATGAGCTCAGATCCATCTCCTGCACTTCCGCCCTCAACCCCTTCTGTTCCCTCCCGCAACAGCGATAGGGTTCCCCTTGCCCTTACCTACCATCCCACCAGCATCCATATCCAGAAGATCATCAGGTGCCAGTTCCGCCACCTCCAGCAAGATGCCACCACCAGACACATACTCCCCTCCCCTCCCTTGTCTGCCTTCCGCAGAGACCGTTCCCTCCGGGACACCCTGGTCCACACTTCTTTCACCCCCAAAACACCCCCACAGCCCTATGGCACCTTCCCCTGTTACCGACGAAGGTGCAACACCTGCCCATTTACCTCCTCCCTCTCCAGTATCCATGGGCCCAAACATACCTTCCAGGTGAAGTAACACTTCACCTGCACTTCCCACAATTTAGTCTGTTGCATTCGCTGCTTACAATGTGGTCTCTTCTACATTGGGGAAAGGAAGCGTAGATTGGGTGGCTGCCTCGCAGAACATCTACATTCTGCTCACGAAAAAGACCTTGAATTACCCGTTGCCTGCCACTTTAACATACCACCTTGTTCCCTGGCAGTGGTCCAGTGAAGCTAGAAGAACCACACCTCATTTCCACGTGGGGACCCTGCAGCCCTCTGGACTCGATATCAAGTTCAATAATTTTAGGGCCTAAACTCTCCTATTTCCCAGGCCCCTACTCCACACACCAGGCCTTGTTACCACAAAGCCTGCCATTATACACTACCTGTTATTAGTCACTAATAGTCCCCATTAACAACTATTCACCCTCCCAGCCTGAGCGTTATCAAATCTTTGTCTGTCCAACTGCTCTTCTCTCTCTTTAGGCTCTATCCTATCGATTACTCCCTACCCCATCCCCCTCCCCTTCTTTTTCTGCATATAAGTTGACATTTTCCTAGCCACCATCAGTTCTGAGGAAGGGTCACTGGACTCAAAATGTTAACTCTGTTTTCTCCTTCACAGATGCTGCCAGACCTGCCGAGCTTTTCCAGCAATTTTGTTTTAGTTCATAATCCTGTCTACTTCGCTACATATGCAGTTTGTAACACTGGCCCTAGCACAGTTCTAGTGTAGGCTGGCCCAATGGTAAAGCCCTATTTTTCCCTAGTTCTGGTGTCAGTGACCCACTAACCTGAACCCACGTCTCCCAGTCTAGTCCTGGAGCTAATTATTCATCTAATTTTATGCACCCTATATCGATTTGCACAGGGCTCAGGTAGTCATAGAGTTATTACAGCAAGGAAAGAGGCCCTTCAGCCTCTTGTGTCTGTGCCAGTCATCAAACATCCAGAGATGTAATAAAGAAATTATAACATTTGAAATTTCTTACTCTTCATATTGTCTACGTAGAATCTTCTTTCTAGTTCTACCTATGTTGTTAGTAGTTACGTGGATCGTGACAATTGGATCCTCCCCTTCCCACTGCAAGTTTCTCTCCAGCCCTGAACAGATGTCTCTGACACTGGGCAGGCAATTCATCCATCGGACTCTCGCTCTTTGCTGTAGAGAATAGTGTCAGTCCCTATCACCACACTATCCCCTATTATTCCTACATTCTCTGTTATTGTCCCCAGGGTCATGGTCATTTTGTCATTCACTGTGCAGCTCCACTCTGATCCAAAACAGGCTGAGGGAACCTCAAACATATTGGACAATGGTAGAGGCTGACACCCCTGTACTCTGGCTCCCCTTACCTACCTCACTCACGTTCATGCCCTCCTGACCACTGACCAGATCAGAAAACTCCATTCTAAGTGATGTCATTGTGTCCTAGTATGAACAGCTTGTGGATTAATTTCCATTTCAGGAACCTCTGTGTACAACATAGATTGATACCTCCTGGCAGTTCTGAAAAGTTCTGCACTGTCAGTGGTGCCACCTTTCTAATGAGTACCTCATGGATGGATGTACAAGGTCCCACAGAATGATTTGTTGATACGATGGAAAGTTAAACCAACAGCAGTAAAACAAAAGCAGAAATTGCTGGAAAAATCTCAGCAGGTCTGGCAGCATCTATGGAGAGAAATCAAGAGTTAACAGGGACAGGAATAGATTTTGTACAGAAAATAGGGTGAGAGGGAAGGGGGGCAGGAAGTAAATAAGTGGAGACAGAGCCTAAAGAGAGAGAAAAATGGTTGGACAGACAAAGGAGTGGTTAAAGGTCAGTCTGGGGGAATGAATAGCTGCTAATGGAGACTATTGATGATTGACAATGGGTTGAGTGCATTAGCAGTCTATGTGAGTCAATGGCTGGCGTGTGGGGGTGGGAGAAAACATGGGGAAAGGTATTCAGACCCTAAAATTGTTGGACTCAATATTAATTCCAGTAGACTGCAAGGTTCCCAAGCAGAAAATGAGGTGATGTTCTTCCAGATTGCACTGAGCTTCACTGGAGCACTGCAACAAGCCTGGGACATAGATATTGGCCAGGGAGCAGGCTGGTGTGTCGAAATGCCAGGCAACTGGAAATTTAGGGCCTTTTTGCATACAGACTGTAGTTGTCCTATGAAGCAGTTACCTAGTCTGCTCTTCATTCCCCCAATGTAGAGGAGACCACATTGTGAGCAGTGAATGCAGTAGATTAGATTGTGGGACGTGCAGGTAAAGTGCTGCTTCACCTGGAAGGTGTGATCAGGGCCTTGGATACTGGGGAGGGAGGAAATAAATGGACAGGTGAAACAAATTCTACTATTGCCTGTGGTAAAGTTTGTGACATCTTACTGGATCATAATTGGCCCCATGTTTCCTACAGTTAGGTTATTTTTTTATGTATTTGGTACAGAGTATGGATACCGATGCAGAATAAGCTGTGTCCTGAATGTATCCCTGATTTATTCAGCATGAATCATTCTGCTGATCTCAACTCCGAGTCCAACTCTTGCTTTCTGATCAACAATAGTAACCTGAATTCATGTACTACCTTTAATGTTGCGAAGTGCCCCACAGGTGCATATGTAAACATTAGCTGACCACTGAACCACAGAAGGAGAATATTAGGACATATTATCAAAAGCTTGCTCAATGAAGTCATTTTTAAAGAGCATCTTAAAGGCAAAGAGAGGTGTAGGGAGGGAATGCCAGAGCTTGGGATCCTAGGCAATGGCAGGCATGACCCACCATTCATGATGGAGTGATTAACATTGAAAATACTCAAGAGTCTAGAACTGCAGTAGCACAGGAACCTTGGGGGATGTGATGCTAAAGGAGGTAACAGAGATTGAGAAGAATTTGAAAACAAGGAAGAAAATTTTAAAATCAAAGCTTTGCGGGACCAGGAATCAGTGGAGGCCAACAAATCCAGAGTGTTGGGTGTGGGACTTTGTGTCTCTACAGAACTGCTCAAACAACAATACCTGCTTCTGAGTCCAAACCTCTGGATACCTACTGTCACCCTGCTGCAGCTTACCTGCTGATGAAATCCTCATCTGTCTTTGATATCTCACCATTGCTTACTACAGCACTCTCTTAAAACTGAGGATCACTCAAAACTCAGTTTAGGATTTTATGACATCCTGGTACATTCACAAAGAGACAATTAACAGACAAGAAGCCGTACAAGTTGTTACACAGACTTTATTTCCAAACTTTTACTTTTACAGCAACGATTATCAATGTAAACCAGTGATTAAAACAGTTACAGCAATGAACATCACAGACACGAAGCAAAGCCACTGAACATTAGCAAAGATGTTACCATCGGGATTAAAATACCATGTCTCACACCTCAAAGAGCAAGCTTTAAGAAACAATATGCAGCTGCCACTAAACATACCTTCATTTTGGCACTAACCTGCCTGAGCCCAGAAAAAAACCTAGAGTAGGATGAGAAGAAAGGTCTGTTCAAAGAGATCAGTTTGGATGGTCTAATGGCCTCTTCCAAACCCTGCTACTCCTATTTCCTCAGCCCTTTTACAGAAATGTGGAGCCTGAAAGTTGCTACAAGACTCAATGTTGACAGTGAGCACAAGAAGTCACTTTGGACACCTTTATCCTGCTCTCAGTCGGTCTCTCAGCACCAAGAATCTCCAGGATTGGTAAGTGATCCACCTGTTGAATCAGCCTGTCCAAACAAGGGGTTCCTTCACTGAAACAGGTACCTCCCCAACACTGAGACAAGAGCAGCTCATAATTTACTGAATAATCACTGATTGTTTAAAAGTGAATCAATAAATTTGTCAATTGTAGCAATCGACTCAAAGTAAATTGATGCAATCTGCAAGTCATAGAATTAGTGATCAAATTGGAGAAAAGATTGGCCAGATATTCCTCACAGTTACTCTCACTTCGCTCGTGCAATCTCATCAGAGTGCAGAGGAAACTCCATTTAGCCTTTGAACAGTATTTCTGCCACAATCCTGCTGAACAGCCAAAACAGGAGTGGCTAAAATGAACATCTGCCCAGTGATTCCAGCTTCATTCAGATTTCTGAAACAGCATCTTTCAGCTCCCAGCACAGAACCTCATCCCACTTGATGGGAGTGCTCCAATCAGAAATGTTCAGCTAACTACAGCATATCATGAGCTCCTGTGAGTCGCTGCAGGGATGAGCAATTTCAGATTTAAAGAAGTTGATTTAATCATTTGACAAGAAGTGGTTTAGATGCAATTGGTTACTGACCATGAGTAAGGGTTGATCTTTCTAAAGCAAGAGGTGCAGCAAAGTCCGTGCTGTGCAGGCTTCTATCAGTTCTGTCTGCCTCATTCCACGGCTATTTCTGCTCATTCAACACCAGCTAATTACAATATACTCATCACATTTCTGAATTTGGATACTACACTGAGAAAGCTTTTCCACAAATATTAAGACAATCAAATACAATGTATTGAACTTGAGCACAGTAATAGTTTCCGGCAGTGACAACTGACAAACAGTTGCAGTGGGATCAACATCATAGCCCATTGCCTGACACCAGCATGAGGAGTCACCCTTGGTGCGGGGGTGGGGGGATGTGGGGGGTGAGGTTTGCAGTTGGCTTTACATGCAGTGGTTGAATTAATTAACTGGTACTCATGGAACGGTAGGCTCCATATATACCTTAGGGAGAAGGGAATGGAGGGGAAAGAAATAATGTGAAGCAGTCATTACGAAGGAAGCTGGCAATTGTGGATTTGGAATCATTGGTCTGAATGGCTGGCTGTGCTGTCAGTTTATTAATCATCCCATTACCATCTAGGTCAGGTCTCTTGTCTTTCTAATGACTCCTTAGTCTGCTCTGTAAAAATTGGTCACTTCCTCAGACTTCACTCTCAGTTAATGAGAGATCTTCTCAAAACCCTTTCTTGGGATCAGTGACAGAGGCATGAGGAGCCAGTTAGCTCCAGTTAGCTGTTCAGATAGAGGTCCATTTTCACTACAGTAAAAACACAATCTGCTCTCTCCTGGAAACTCTTGGGGTTGCTTGCTTACTGTGGGACGGGCAGTGATCCAACACCCTGTAAAGGGCACTAACAACTAGTTAGTCTGCTCTCAGGGCATTTCTCATCTAAATCCTCATTCACAGCCACCAGAACTATCCTGAAAATCAATTGTCATCAATGGCATTGAGGTCATTGGACAATACTGGAGAGTGACAACTGGAGAGAGAGCTCACTAGGGAGAGAGAGTGTACTGGAGAGAGAGAGAGAGAGAGAGAGAAAGCACTGGAGTGAAAGAGAGCGAGCACTTTTGAGAGCAAGCACTGGAGACAGCGAGAGAGAGTACTGGAGAGAGAGAGAGACAGAGAGAGAGAGAAAGAGCAAGCACTGAAGAGAAAGAGACCACTGGAGACAGACAGCACTGGAGGGAGACAGGAAGCACTTAGCACTGGAGACAGAGAGAGCATCAGAGAGAGAGAAAAAGCATAGACTTCACTAGAAAGGGAGAGTTCACTGCAGAGAGAGATCACTGGAGAGAGAGAGAGAGAGATCACTGGAGAGAGTGATCACTAAACAGAAAGACCGCAGGTCATCAAGGTCGATTGCACAGAAAAAGGCCCTTCAGCCCATCAAGTCTATGCCCATCACAGAAAGAATACCTAACTACTTTAATCTCATTTCCAGCACTTGGCCCAATGCCTTGTATGCCTTGGAATTGCAAGAAACATCTAAATACTTCTTCAATGTTATAAGGTCTTCTGCTTCTACCACCCTTACAGGCAGTGAGTTTCAGATTCCCCACCACCCATGCGGTTAAAGAAAGATTTCCTCATATCTTCTCTAAACTTTCTACCTTAAATCGCCACTCCATGGTCACTGATCCCTCCATCAAGGGGAAGGTTTCTTCCCTTCTACCCTATCTATGCCCCTTATAATCTTATACATCTCAATCATGTCACCCCCTCAGTCTCCTCTGCTCTAAAGGAAAACAACCCCAGTCTGTCCAATCTCTCTTCATAACTGAAACTCTACAGTCCAGGCAACATCCTGGTAAATCTCCTCAGCATGTCTCCATTACAATCACATCCCTCTTATAATGTGAATTTCAGTACTGCACATAATATTCTAGTTGGGGCCTAACCCAATGTCACACACAGTTTGAGCATTACTTTCCTGCTCTTAAACTTTATGTCTCAGCAAATAATCATTGAAGAGAGAGCTCATTTGACAGAAAGATCACTGGAGAGAGAATTCACTGGACAGAAAGATAACTGGGCAGTGAGATCACTGAAAATATAAATCACTAGAGGGAGAGAAATCACTGGTGAGTGAGGGATCACTGTAGAGAGAGAGGTCACTGGAGAGTGCAGTTCACAGCCAGATTAAAGCTGAGATATGGTTACAACATCTAAAAAGCACATTCTTAATCTGCCCTCCTTAAATAGATAGTGCAACCTGAACCTGCTGGGGTCATACCCTTACCATAAAGGACAAAGCTGGAGAAAATATCATCCAGTTACAAAAAAATCTTCCATAACACATAGCAAATGAAAGACTAGCATATGCACAATATGAGTGCAAATGACTGAGGGCACAGGGTTTATAGGTGGGTTGTGTAGAATAACTGATACCCTGATGTGAGTTACACATCAGAATATTAGTAAGAGGTTTCGGTGGGGCACAGACTGGAATCTAATCAAGGAGTTTAGGTGTTGTAATGAAAGCACAATGAGAAATTCAAACAGCCCATAACTTCCACTGAATCTTTCGATATCCTGACATCAGCATTGAGTAGACAGTGATGTAGTGATAACAAATCTCTGAGGGCAATGGATTCAAATCTCATTGTGGCAGCATTGAAATTTAAATTTAATTAATGAATAAAGGTGGAATATATAGCCAGTCTCAGCAATGGTGACGATCAAATGATCATTGATTGTCAAAAACCCTGAACTGGTTCACTCATATCCTTTAAGGAGGGAAATCTGCCGTCCTTACCTGGTGAGTCCTACATGTGACTCCAGGCCCTCCTTGGCCACCTTCTGAAATGGCCAAGTTGGACATTCTGTTTAATCAATGAATGTTGGACTTTTCGATGATGACCACATCCCACCTTGGGTTGAATGGGTTAATGTAGCCAGAGTTAAGGGGTTGTCGATGAGGATTTTATAAAGTATAAATTAAATCAAAACATGACATTTTATCTCTTTTCAGTCCGAGAAGCTTCAGGTTGAGGTAAGTCTTTTTGTTGCGGCTATGCCAGGCCATCAATGATACCCTGATAGTTGTGTGGATAGCAATGTTGTGCTCACTGCCCTCCCCTGACCCATATTGTGATGACGGCACTTAATTTTAAACCATGGTCCAAGGTGTTCAGACCCATACTTGTTTGACCGTTGACCCCTTGACCAGTTAAGTTCAATGAGACACAAATTGGATCACACTCCACGGTCAACCTCATGTATCGTAGCACCGACTGAACTCAATCAAATCAACTCAGACTGCATCTGAAACACAGGCTGAAAAACACATACCAGATAAAACTAATCATAGTGAAGAGGTCGGCGTTCAGTGGGTGCCAGACAAACTTTTGGGGGAGGGGTGGATGGGCCTGTCTAGAGAGTGGGAGGAGGGCTGTCTGGGCCAGTCTGGCGGTGGGGTGTTTGGGCTGGTTTGGAGACTGTGGGGAGGGGTGTCTGGGCCAGTTTGGAATGTTGGGGGAAGGGTATCTGGGCCAGTCTGGAGAGTGTAGGGGAGGAGTGTTTAGGCTGGTTTGGAGAGTGTGGGGAGGGGGGTCTGGGCCTGTCTGGAGAGTGTAGGGAGGGGTGTCTGGGCCTGTCTGGCTGTTCTGTCAGTTTTACACTGCGCTAAATTTGAACAGTAAGAACTGCGAGGTGCCACTGAACAGGACAGTCTGTCATTTCCCACATGCTGCTTAAATTGATCAGTGTCACCAGAACTGGACCAGGGCTGAAAGTGGAAAACTATGAGAACAGGCTGCATTCACCAGACTTGTAGTCCTTTGAGTAGAGAAGATTAAAGGCCACATAACAGAATATTTAATATAATCAAAGGATTCGACAGGGTGGACAGACAGACAGTTTTCTCTGGTAGGAACAAGGGGCAGAATCTTAAATCCGAGCCAGGCTCTTCCAGGGGCGATTTCAGAAAGCTGTTCCTCACACAAAATACAAAATACTAAACGCCGTTCAGAAAAAAACACCCTTTAAGTAAAGCTCTTAGGGTTCTTGATGTTGAGAAGACAGACTGTAGGTCACACCCAAGGTATGCTGATTTCAGAACTCTTACTTCAGCGATTCGGAAGGGAGTTTGGGTCTTGGCAGCAATGCTCACAAACCTGGGGTAAACTGCACAGCGTTGTGTGTCCCATTGGATAAGGCAGAGTGCGATCACTACCAGGAGACACGCAACAGGGAACACAAAGAGGAGGAGAGTCTTCCACTGACTCCACCATCCAACCAGCTCATTGCTGATCTATATCTTAACTTCATTTACCCACATTGGTCATATCATACTTAACACTGTCTTAACAAAACTATAACAGTCTGAGATTTGAACTTATCCGTTGACACCAATTTCAAAAGCTTGTGGTTGAAGAGAGTCCCTATTTCTACTTCACTTTGAGAGACGGGATTCCTGACCACTTTGAGCTTTAGCCCCTTCATTCCCCAGTCCCCACCAGAACAAATACTTTTTCTCTCAACTCCTATAATCATCATCAATAATCAAACATCAATTAAACACCATCTTAACTTCTACATTCAAGGGAATAGCATCCTTATCTGTGTAACACATTCTCACTTTACACAGCCATTTTAACTGCACTATCAATTTGCTGGAAGAGCAAATGCACTCTCTCTGAGGACACTATCTCCTTCCTGTGGTACAGTGTCCAAAACTGAGCAGTTACTCTACATGTGGTTTAACCAATACTTCACACATCTGCAACATAACTCCCACCCCTCCGTATTTCAGCTGCTTGAAACAAAAATCAAAATTCTATTCATATATTAAATTTATTTTTGTACCTGCCCACTTGCTTTTAGTGCTTTCTGTACTTGGACCCCCAAATCTCTAAATAAAGGGACTAACCACACCTCAAGTGCTAGTCTTCTCACAAAGCCTAAAGGATCGCAGATCAGGAGTTAACACATTGGGCGTGCAAGGGCATACAAAATACAACAAAGCATCACTGTCTGTAAATGGCCAGATATTTTGACTTAGTCGGACCGAATGCTTCAGAGGACAGTGCAAGGAGCGAGATAGAGAGGGCTCAGGATGGTCCGACACCAGTTCATGTTAGACACCTGCAAACTGCTGTGAAGGAAGGAGGGCTTTTCAAGCAACAGTCACAAACCCTGTTTAGCCAGAGAGGCTGAGACCTGGTCAGCGAGAGTAGCAAGCTGTGGCGACTCCACCATGTTGATGCTGCTGGTGGAGGACACATTACTGAGGCGGCGTGGGGAGCCTTCATTGGAAATGGTCGGGGATTTGTAGACAATTTCTGCACCATGATCTGTGCGAGATTTGGCTGTCTCACGGAAAGTCAGCTTGTGAGATTCAATCTGGAGAGAGGAGGATGATTGTGTCAGTGTCACGTATCAAGTAGGACAAACATTCTGTACACAAACCAACAACAGTCACCCAATCACCACCCTGACAAATAACAAGCACAAACAGCCCCTCCCCGCCCCCAACCCAACAAAAGTCCCACAACTCGCCAACCCTGACACAACACCCCCAGATTCCGCACCCTCCCAGGCCTCCTATGCCAGGTTTGATTCTCGGATTCTCTCTGTCATCCAGGGTCTCATTGCCTCCCCATGGCTCTGTGTGCACCTTCTGGAGACCGCTGGCCAGGCCTAGTGGGTGTTTGAGCTCTCTGTGTTGTGATTGTTTCTCTTCAAATTCAGCACTTGGGTCAGATCTGATGTTCACTGTGGATACTGCCTGGATATGGAATCAAAGCTGAGCAAATTCCACTCAGAATACTGCTGGCTGTGGATAACTGACAGAACACTCCCAAAACTGAATCCAGCTTTTAGAATAACTTTGTGATAGAGTAACAGAGACACTTCTAGACGAGAGGCTGCGATGGTTTCACTCACACGTCTTGTCTGCCTGTGTGTCCCGGTTCGGGGTTGTGTGTAACTCACAGGAATCAGTCACACCTGAAACAGGCACTTGTGCAGGTGTATCACTGATACAGTTCTCAACTGTTTCATTCACTGCTTCTTCCTTCCTGTTCTCTTTCTATAAATGAAATCAGGGTGGTACACAATACATCATCATCCTTAAACTCAGTTTTAAAAAAATATTAACTTGCTCAATTAGACTCTAAAGTACAAGCAAAGAAGAAGGGAAACTCTGGGATGAGGGTTTTGAGGTTTCCTGGGAGTGAGGTTAGTCTTCACAAACCTGCCCTTTCCAATGGGAAGAGAGGTCCACAACTGAATCACATCTGGTTGCAGCTGTCCAGGCATCTCACAAACAGCTCCCCTGGGTCAGAAATACTGTCTGATGTGGAAACAGATGGTTAATGTCTCAGGTAAAGCAGTCTGGGCCTGATGGAGGGTCACTCATCATCTATTTCTAGAATTTACTCGATTTCCTTGGAATGGATAGCAAGCTGTCTCAGATGCCTGCAGCCTCAGGGAATATTGCTAGCAGGCAGCACTGTTGGTCTTAACCCTGCACCAGGAAAAAGAAAACATTGCTACTGCAAAGGTCAAAGGTGCTTGGGGAGGGAGGGAAATCTGGTAATAATGCAGTGCCCCTTAGCAAAGTGGGGACCTCTCAGTGGGCAAATGCACCATGCGAGTTATTGTCCCTAATTCTTGACATCTCTACATGGTCCTGAGTAAAAGCCCAACTTTTTGGAAAAATCTCCTGACTACAGCTTTCAAGAAAGGTCAGCAGCTTGTGCAAGATTGGGAAAAACAGACAGAATTGAATCACTGGTAGGAATTTATTGTGGTGAGGATGTCTCTATGTGGAGACGAGAGACCACGGTTTGAGCAACTAGCAATTGGATGTCTCCAAGATAGGGCAGCATGGTGGTTCAGTGGTTAGCACTGCTGCCTCACAGCACCAGAGTTCGATTCTAGCCTTAGGTGACTGTTTGTGTGGAGTTTGCACATTCTCCCTGTGTCTGCATGGGTTTTCTGTGTGTGCTCCAGTTTCCTCACACAGTCCAAAGATGTGCAGGTTAGATAGATTGGCTATGCTAAATTGCCCGTAGTGTTCAGAGATGCGCAGGCTAGCCATGGGAAATGCAGGGTTGTGCGATGGGTCTTGGTGGGATGCTGTTCGGAGGGGCTGTGTGGGCGCTGTGGGCCAAATGGCCTGCTTCCACACGGTAGGGATTCCAAGATGCACAGAACTCTATCTTGCATGAGAATAAACAGCAAGGGGAAATCTTTACCAGAGGGCGACTGGAAATTGAGGCTGACATTTTTTGCAGCGTCCATTTCAGGTAGTTACCAGGAAGTCCCAGAACCTCTCCTCTGCTGCAGAGATTGAGAGTGATGCCAGAGTAAAGGAAACAGATGGAAGAAGCAGATGATGTAGTGAATGAAACAGAGAAGGAAAAGTGCAGCAGAATAAGACTCAGTAACAATGTGGAGATCCCCAACAATGCAATCCCTTTAACAAAATTTTTTTTAATTCTGCATCATATCCTCAGCCTATCCTTATATTGTGTGTTTGTCCTTGTATCTGTACTTGTCACTGTATCTGCACCTGACGCTGCATCATGTTTCTGATCTGCACTTATTTATTATCCTCACTGGTCTCTGCATCATACACCTGGCCCTGGCTCTCTGTCTTCACCTGGCCCTCCATTTATATCTTATTCTGTATCTGTCCTTATCTGTTACTCTACACCTGTGTCTGTACCTGCACCAATCCTGTATCAGCACTTATCTCTTACTGTGCACCCATCCCTCTATCTTGCATCTGTCTCTATAGTTCCACTTCTCCCTTACATCACACCGATCTCTGTAACTGCACTTGTATCTGCAATCCCCATCTGACTCTGTACACAGAACCTCTCTCTGTGTCTGGCACCGGTGTCAGTCCTGCACCTGTTGCTGTATTCTGCATTAAGCCTGTATCCTGTGTGATCTCTATTCTGATTTCATCTCTAATCCTGAACCTGGCTCTGGATCTTGCACCTGAGTCTAATACTTTACTTGTCTCTGTATCTGCATGTGTCTCTGTAACCGCCATCTGTATCTCCACCTAGCATTTCATCTGCATCTGACACCCGTCCCCGCATCTGTCCTGATATCAAATCTATCCCTGGATTTGCACACGTCCCTGTGTCTTGGCCTTTTTTCTGTATCCTGCATCTGTCCCCATACCTATATATATCTGTATTTGCACCTATCACTGTATCTTCAGCAGTCCCTGTAAAATGCATTTGTTCCTGTATCTTGCACCTGTCTCTAACCTAACACTTGCCCCTATCTGCATCTGTCTTTGTATCCTGTCCCTGTATTTCCTTTAAGATTTGTACTTGCACAATAGATTGAAGGTGCATGATGGGTGCTAATCCAGGGTGACAACCTAGTGATTTCACACCATTGTTCAAGGAAATGCAGAGGATATCTTCCCACTTTCTTGGTCAATATTTAACCATCAACCAACTTCAGAAATATCAGATGTCTTATGCTGCACTGCTGTTTGTTCTGTTATAACACTGGCTACATTTATTGGCATGTCATTGACTGACTGTAACGCATTTTGTGCTGTTCTGGGAATGGTACTGTATAAGTGGAGCTCTTTCTTTATGTTTGCATTTCTACTTTGCGCAGTATCACTGACTCTCCAGGATGGGTCGAACCTCTCACCTTTTTTGTACCCCCTCCTGGGGTGTGGCTGATGTTGTCCATTGAACCAATTTTAGACTGAGCTTTATCCCTAAAGTCGACCTTCTGAGATTTTATCTCCACATTTCCACCACCTAAAGGGAACATTGAGAGAATTACTCTCTGCCAGTTTTAGTTTGAGAGCTACTTCATCCAGTTTCAATATTTATTGATTTATTTCTGCCTCATTACAGGTTCAGCTGCTCCGTTCCCATTCTCCATCTGTAACTATAAGCAAACATAGCATTGTCTGCAGTCACTCCTCCTCCCCATCCCCCTCCTCCTCCTCCTCCTCCTCACACCGCATCCCTCCATCACTCCTGCTCACTGCAACAATCTCCATAAGCCTCACTCCTCCCTTCTATCATCATATAATCATTGAATCCCTACAGTGTGGAAGCAGGCTATTCGGCCCATCGAGTCAACACCTATCTTCCAAGGGTCATCCCACCCAGACCCATCCCTATCTCTACAACCCTTCATTTCCCATGGCCAATCCAACAAACCTGCACATCTTTGGACTGTGGGAGGAAACCGGAGCAGCTGGAGGAAACCCACGCAGACATGGGGAGAATGTACAAATTCCACAGTCTCCCAACGGTGGGATTGAACCCAGGTCCCTGGTGCTGTGAGGTGTGAGGCAGCAGTGCTAACCACTGAGCTGCCATGCCACCCTGACTCTTGCCACCAGCCCCCCAACTGACTCACCATCTCCCCCTCACTGACACTCGCTCCCCCCTCACTGACTCTCCCTCTCCCCCCACCCCCTCACTGACTCTCCCTCGCCCCTCACAGACTCTCCCCCTCCCTGGCACCCCTCCCCCTGTACTGACTCTCTGCCTCCCCCCTGACTCTCCTACT